TTTTTTTTTTTGCCCAAAGGTATAATATATATGTGTGTTTAACAACAACAACAAAAAAAAAAAAAAACCACACACACACAAAAAATTGTTTACACCAGCCTGAGTGAAATGATGAGGGAAGTAAACATTGTGTTTTCTCACTTAAAGGTGTGCAGCGGATAAGGTAGGTCCTCTTTTCAGTGGGTTTACATCACAATGAACAGCACAAGTTGTGATGTAAAACAGCTGTGGTAGTAAAGTGCTTGTCTGCCCCATTTTGCTTTGTTTGGCTGGTTATGAGTGGAATAAAAAAATATGTTTATTTTTTAAAAAATCTTCAGCATAGATCAATTAGTTTAAAGTCAAGTTTCTTCGCATTTAGTCCTTTTCACAGCTTACCAATTGCCATCCATAGCCAGTGTTAAATCCACTCTGGGAAATGAGACCTCTGGCACCAGTTTTAAAGTAAAACTAAATCTTGTCCCTAAGGGGAACTAGTTTTTTATTTTAAAATTTCATTTAATTGGAAAGCATCTTTGCCGGGGCGGGGGGGGAATTTAAACATACTATTAGTAATTGTAGAGTTTTCCTGTATCATGTTTGAAATGCATTTTTTTTTTTCTATTTAATCAGTCAGTTAAGATATTTATCACCAGTGTATGGGATGGGGGGAGGAGGGTATCAGTGGGCAGAGTGCAGTGATTATTGATGGGAAGTTACTTGGGAATCTTTCAAAAAAGAAAGTTCCGCTGGGTGTGGTGGCACATGCTTGTAATCCCAGCACTTGGGAGTAGAGGCAGGAGGATCAGGAGTTCAGGATCATCCTTGCTACATAGTGAGTTCAAGGACAACCTGGGCTACATGAGACCCTGTCTTAAAAAATTAAAAGAACAGAACTCTAGAAGTTTTAAATTTCAAACCCCTTGGTGCCATTGCTTAGTTTTGCCATGGTAATCTGGAGTTCTGTCCAACTGGAAGGTCGACCAAAGTGGTTTGCTGGGTTAGTCCAGGAAAGGAAAGATTGGGTGTAAGCTGTGAGAATGGCTTCTGTTTGGTTCACTGTAGCTTTCTGGTCTCTGCACTCCAAGGCAAGATCTCTAACCACCCAAACCTAATGTTTAAAACAAACTATTAGCTTAGCTTTGTGTCTTAACTTGATTCGGTGTTCCTGTTACAGGGAGAACAGACCCTATTCCAATCGTTGTCAAGTATGATGTCATGGGCATGGGTCGCATGGAAATGGAGGTAAGTTGGTCTCATTAAACAACATTCATTTTATCAAACATATAAAATTGACATTAACTCCAAATTCAGGTGTCCGTGCAGGCATGCATTTATCAGGTGGAACATAATTTCAATACAGTTCTTTGGTCAATTGAAAAAAATACTTTCTATGCTCTCTTTTTGTGCTACTTTGAAGCACATAAGATGTAAGTAATGCCCTGTTTGAACTGGGGCATTAAAAAATGGAGGGTTTTCCTAGTGTCACAGAAGCATAAGAGGCTCTGGTGCTTGTTTTAATAGGCAGTATTGCTCAGTGCTTTAAAAAAAAATAGTATGGGAGAAGCTTTGCCTTTGTAGAGTGGCATACAGCTGTCTTCTGTGATACCTTCTTTTTATTGCCTGAAATATTTTCTCCATTTACTTTTGATTCTTGGCAAGGAATATTGAACTGAAATCTTGGGGTTTTTTTTGTTTTGTTTTGTTTTGGTTTTTTTTTGAGACAGCGTCTCCCTGTAGTAGAGGCTGACCTGGAACTCACTATGTAGACCAGAGACCAGAGACTTTCTTTTTTGAAAAAGAGACCAGGCTGGCCTTGAACTCACAGAGATCCACCTGCCTCTGCCTCCCAATGAACTAAAATCTTATCACCATCAATTATGTCTATTATGAATATCAGGAAAGGGATCAAGGCGCTTTGCTTGTTATTTTCTTTGAGGTGACAGTAGAAGACGTAGCTGAACAGAGCACAAAGTCTTGGCAGGGTGTGATGACACACTCCTTTGAGCCAGAAGCAGAGGCAAGTGGATCTCTGTAAATTGGAGGCCAGCCCAGTCTACATAGCAAGTTCCAGGCCAGCTACAGCTATATAATGAGGTCTTGTCTCAAACAAACCACAAGTTTCATGTGTTCAAATGACATTTTCATAGTTAATCTTGGGTACTTTAGGAAGTAAGAGTAAATCTCTTTTTGTCAAGCTGGATTATGCCGAAGATGCTACTGAAAGGCGCCGTGTCCTAGAAGTGGAAAAAGAAGATACAGAAGAGCTAAGACAAAAGTACAAGGTATGTAAAGTCACTCTTAGGTAATGAGTGTTCGTTCACACTAGAGAAGAAATACTCATTTGGGTAAGAAGGGTCTCCCCTTGACTGACAGCATTTGTAAGTGTGTTGGAAAGATGACATTAGTGTTTGTAGTGTGTGAAGTGCTAGTCCCTGGCAGTATACAGATAGTGAAAAGAGTAGCAGTAAAAATTATGAAGAGTCCTTTTAAAAAAGTGAATGGAGTTTTGGAGGTGGGGTTGTTTGTTTGTTTGCATTCATTTTGTGTATGGTTACACAGTATGCTCTAAAGTCAGAGGACAACTTTCGGGAATTTGTTCTTTCCTTTCACCGTGTGGTCTCAGGGACCAAACTCAGATCATCTGGCTTAGCAGCAAGTGCTTTCACCTGCTGAGCCATCTCACTGGCTCTGAATAAGATATTTTAAAAGTAAAAATTTAAGACCCTTTTTGTTCTTTGCTAATTGTACTCAACTCTAAATCAGAGATTTCTCTCTCCTTGTGGGCAGATCAAGTTGAAATTTTTTTTTTAGACCATGCTTTTTAAAAAAATACTTATATTTTTTTATTTTATGTGTATGAGTATATTGCCTGCATGTATGTGAGTGCACCCATGTCATGCAATGCCTCGGAGGTCAGAAGAAGGCTTCGGATTCCTTTAGAACTGGAGTTAAGGACAGATCATACCCACCACATGGGTGCTGGGAATCGAACTCGGGTCCTCTGCAAGAGCAATCAGTGCTCTTAACTGCTGAGCCTTCTCTCCAGCCCCTTAACTTGAAATTTTAAAAAATTTTGTGTGTGAGTATATGTATATTGGACAGGAGAGCATTCTTGTCATGGTACACAAGTGTAGGTCAGAGGACAGCTTGTGGGAGTCTGTTCTCTACTTCCACCATGTGGGTTACAGAGATAAAACTTAGGAAGTCAGATTTGGCGGCAAGTACCCTTACCAGCCCACTGAGCCTTCTCACTAGCCTGAATTTATTCTTTCAATATTTTCCTTTTTAAGGGGCTATCATAGAAAACTGCAAGTTAGAACATGTTCTATATTAGCTTTCAGAAAGACTGACCAGGAAATATGCCTTTCAAGGTATTATAGTGTGTCTAGTTTCTACCATAAAATGGGTAAATTAGGAAATAGATTTAATTAAGAATATAGATAGCTGGGGCTAGAGAGATGGCTCAGTGATTAAAAGCACTGACTGTTCTTGAGAAGACCCAGGTTCTATTCCCAGCACCCACGTGGCAGCTAACATCCATCTGAAACTCCAGTTCCAGGGGATCCTACACCTTCTTCTGACCTCTGTGGGCACTGCATGGTACGGGTACACTTACGTACATGTAGGCAATGCACTCATGCAAATAAAAATAAGTAAATAAATAATTTTTTTTTAAAAAAAACGAATATAGATAGCTAGAAAAATGGTTCAGAGGTTAAGGGTGTGTACCTCTCTTGAAGAGGACCCAAGTTCAATTCCCAGCACCCACAGAAGATAGCTTACAACTGTCTGTAACTCTAGCTCCAGGAGATACTATGCCTCTAGCCTCCCTGGGCACTGTACTGACTTGCATATATCCATGCACAAACACACACATATACATAGTTAAAAATAACAAAAAGGCCGGGCGTGCTAGGCGTGGTGGCACACACCTTTAATCCCAGCACTCAGGAGGCAGAGGCAGGCGGATCTCTGTGAGTTCAAGGCCAGCATGGTCTACATAGTGAGTTCCAGGACAGCTGGGGCTACAGGGAGACCCTGCTTCAAAAAATTCCCAGCACCCACATCAGGTGGATCACAACTGCCTATAACTTCAGCTCCAGGAAATCAGACTCTCTTCTGGTCTGCATGGGTACCTGCACTCACATATACAAACACATATATACACAATTAAAAATTAAATCTTTTTTTTAAATATTTATTTTTATTTTTATGTGTATGCGAGTATTGCCTGCATATAGGTAAGTGCACCCATATTGTGCAGTGCCTTCGGAGGTCAGAAGAGGCTGTCTGATCCCCTGGACTAGAGTTACTGACAGTTGTTAGCTGCCATGTGGGTGCTGGGATTTGAACCTAGGTCTTCTGCAAGAAAAACCAGTGTTCTTAACCACTGAGCAATCTCTCCAGCCCCCCAAAATTAAAACAAATCTTAAACAAATTAAAAAAAAAATTCTTTAAAAAAGAGTATCACATAGAAACTGAATTTTGGTCATGATATTTAAGGTGAAAGGGGGGGAAAAAAGCATTCTATCATTTAAAGGAGGAGAAGTCAAGTCATAGCCTGTCCATTGTATGAGCTACTTAAGGATTTGTTAAAGACCCTTTCAATCAGGTGTGGTGGTGTACATCTTTAACCCCAACACTTGAAAGACAGAGGTAGGCAGATCTCTCTGTGAGTTCAAGGCCAACCTGGTCTACATAGTAAGTTCCAGACCAGCCAGAGCTATGTAGTGAGAAAAAAAAAAAAAAAAAAAAAAAAAAAAAAAAAATTCCCTCAAAGTCTGACTACTCTGAACTGCCTATATATCTATATATCTAGAATTACCTAAGCGGTGTGGAAAAGAGAAAGGAGTAATACTGCTAATCTCAGTCCATGAGAACCATTGTCAGTCTTAGAAATCGAGTATCTGTTATTTCATTTCATTGTTAAATTAAATAACAAAGACCAAGTGTGGTAGGCGTGCACACTTTTAATCCCAACACTTGGGAGTCAGAGGCAGGTTGATCTCTCTGAATTCAAGGTACTTGGTCTACGAGTTCAAGTCAGCTGGGGCTACAGGGAGACCCTGTCTCAAACAAAGCAGAACAAAAGATAACAGTTGAGTAAAATTAAGATAAAGTTTTTAAAAAATATTTTATTTATTCTTATTTTATGTGTATGAGTATATTGCCTACATGTATTTAAGTGCACCCGTGTCCTCCAATGCTCACAGAGGTCAGAAGAGAATGTCGGATCCCCTGGAACTGGAGTTACAGACAGTTCTTAGCTGCTATGTGGGTGCTCGGAATTGAACCCAGGTCCTCTGCAAGAGCAACCAGTGCTCTTAACTGCTGAGCCATCTCTCCAGCCCCAAGATAACTATCTTTTTAAAGGCTTAAATATGGGAAGGTGGGGGAGTAAAGAGGCGATAGCACACATATAAGGTCTCCTGAAATCCAGAATATTCGGGCATAGTGGTACACACCTGCCATCCTAGCATTCAAGAGGCAGAGAAAGGTGCTGGACATGGTGGCACATGCCTATAATCCCAGCACATAGGAGGTAGAGGCAAGAAAATTGCCATAAATCCTAGGGCAACACCTAAGGTTGTCCAGTGAGATTGTCTCAAAAAAGAAACAAAGGAGGTAGGGGCTGGAGAGAGGGCTCCAAGAATACTTGCTGTTCTTGCAGAGAATCCAGGTTTGGTTCCCAGCACTCACATGACTACTCACAACTGCCTGTGACTCCAGTTCAAGGGAATCCTGACACCCTCTTCTGGCCTCCCCACACACTAGTCATACACATGCAGACAAAACACTTGTACACATAAAAATAAATAACTAGTTGGGCATGGTGGTGCACGCCTGTAGTCCCAACACTCGGGAGGCAGAGGCATGTGGATCTCTGTGAGTTCCAGGACAGCTGGGGCTACAGGGAGACCCTGCTTCAAAAAGACAAAAATTAATTAATTAATTAAATAAAAATATTTAAGAAAAGGAAAAAAGCCAGGTGTGGTGATACATGCCTTTAATCCCAGCACTTGGGAGGCAGAGGCAGGTAGATCTCTGTGAGATTGAGGCCAACCTGGTCCACATAGTTGAGTTCCAGGCCAACTGGGGCCACGGGGAGATCCTATCTCAAAAAGATAGGGAAAAAAAAAATGTGATGAAGAAATGACTGAGTGGGTAAAACACTTGCCACAAAAATGTGAGGACTCAGGTTTAAACCCCTAGAACCCATGTTAAATTAAAATAAGCAGGTTTTAAAATAGGCAGTAAGTGTCTATAATCCCAGTGCTGCTATTGGGAAATAGGATGCAAAGAGAATGTCCAGAAGCTTATTGGCCAGCTAACCTGGTATATGTAATATCAAACAAGAGGTCTCAAATAAGGTGGAATGTGAGGACCAAAACCTGAGGTTTCAGGGTGTGGTGGCACACGCCTTTATTCTCTGTGAGATTGAGACAGCCTGGTCAACAGCCAGTTTTAGGCCAGCTGGGGTACAGGGAGACAGTCTCAAAAAAGGCCAAAAAAAAAAACTGCCCCAAGGTTTTTCTCTGACCACCACATACTTGCCATGGCATGTACACACCTGTACTCAAATACACGAACAAGCTCCACATACATCATACATACACATACACACAAAAAATAACAAAAATTTAAGAAATGAAAAAAGTTGAAGATACTTCCTTCTTGGGCTAGAGAGAAAGCTCAGTGATTAAGAGCACTGGCTGCTCTTAAAGAGGACCTGGGTTCGATTCCTAGCACCCACATGACAGCTAACAACCTTCTGTAATTCCAGTTTAGGAAAATCCGATGCCACCTTCTGATCTCCACAGTATTGCACAACATGGATGCACTTACATTCAGGGAATACACTCATACACATAAAATAAAAATAATAAATAAAAATTTAAAAAATAAAATAAATGTTTTTTAAAAAATGCTTCTGTTTTGAAATTTTAGTGCTATCTAGATTTACCTTTGGGTGTAGAGGAATTGTAAACCTGCAGGTTATTTTTTTTTTTTTGAGATTCTAAAATGATTCTAAGTGAAGAAATTAACATTTTCACTGTTCATTGTTATAACCCAGTCAGTCATGGAGAGATGTTATAGAAAGCAGCTGTGGAGTGCAGTATTTTTTTTTAAATATTTATTATTTTTATTTTTATGTGTATGCGTATATTGCCTGCATGTAGGTAAGTGCACCTGTGTCGTGTAATGCCCTCGGAGGACAGAAGAGCTTTTGGATCCCCTGGAACTGGAGTTACGGACAGTTGTCAGCTGCCATGTAGGTGCTGGGATTCGAACGCAGGTCTTCTGCAAGAACAGTCAGTGTTCTTAACCCCTGAGCCATCTCTCCAGCTCCAGGGTGCAGTATTTTTACTTATCAAAAATAGGCTAGCTAGCTGCCTTTCTCTTCCTCCTCCACATTATATGTCCTATCTGAGCCTCTCTGTAGTTTTTTTGTAACTTTTTCCCTCTGCCTTTAGATAGTTTTTAGAAAATTTTTATTTCATTTATTTATTTAATGTAGGTCCAATGTCCAGCCATCTGTGTACCATGGTGTGTCTGTGGAGGTCAGAGGACAATTTATAGGAGTCAGTTCTCTCCTTACACCATGTAGGTATTGAAGATCAAAGTTAGTCTTGGTGGCAAGTGCCTTTACTCACTAAGCCTCATTATAGCCTAGCAAGAATGAACCTTTCTGCTTTGTTTCCCATTCAGAGAAGAAGTGTTTATTCTGGGTAGCCCAGGCTACCCAGAAACCATTAGTCTAGGCTGGCCTCAATTCATGTTCCTCCTACCTCATCAACCATACTTGGTCACCTGGAGATTTTCCATAAATGGCCTCCTTAGACTGAAAGGATAAAATTTCTGTTCTGGGCCGGGCACAGTGATATACGCCTTTAATCCCAGCACTTGGGAGAGGCAGGTGGATCTCTGTGACTTCGAGGCCAGCCTGGTCTACACAGCAAGTTCCAGGTCAGCTGGGGCTACAGGGAGACCCTGTCTCAAAAAGACCAAAAAAAAAAAAAAATTCTATCCTGTAATTTGGTTTTTTTTTTTGGTAGCCCCAGCTGTCCTGGAACTCACTATGTAGACCAGGCTGGCCTTGAACTCACAGAGATCCGCCTGCCTCTGCCTCCCTAGCATTGGGATTAAAGGCGTGCGCCACCATGCCCAGCTCTATCCTGAAATTTGTATCATGAAAGAGAATAATGAGATTTTTGTCAAGAATTTTGTTTCAAGTCATTTTGGATAATCAAACTGGTTTTCCCTTATTAATAGGGTATAACATGGACTAGGTTTTTTTGTTTTGGGAGTTTTTTTTTATGTTAAGCCAGCCTTGGGTTCCTTGAATAGATCTCACTCTTCATGGTGCATAATCCTCTTTAGCATGCTGTTTAGCATTCCAGTCTGCTAGCATTTTGCTCAGCATTTTTGCATCTGGGCTCATAAGAAATACTACCTTTGGTAATTTTCTTGTGAGGTCTTTTGTTTGTTTGGTCTTTTGAGATAGGGTCTCCCTGTAGCCACTGCTGGCCTAGACCTCACTATGTAGACCAGGCTGGCCTAGATCTCACCACCTGCCTTTTTCTCTCATGTGCTGGGATTAAAGATGTGTGCCACCACTCCTGGCTTGTGATGTCTGTGTATTTAGGTAATACTAGTCTTTAGAATAACTTAGTGCTCCTTCCTCTTCCTTACTCTCTTGATTATAGAAAATAAGTATGTGGATTTTTGGTTTTCTTGCCTCAATTTAAATTCTCTTAATTAAAAAAATTAACTTTTAATTTCTGTCTTTCACTTAGTGTATCTATTAATGGTGACCACCATAGCCCAGTACATGCAAGGCAGGTGCTCTGTACCATGGGTTGTCTATCCTTACCACATCTTTTTTTTTAGACTTCTTTTTTTCTTTTGGGTGTTTTTGAGACAGGGTCTCCCTGTAGCCCCAGCTGGCCTGGAACTCACTACGTAGACCAGGCTGGCCTTGAACTTACAGAGATCCACCTACCTCTCCCTCCCGAGTGCTGGAATTAAAGGCGTGTACCACTTTGCCCTTAGACTTCTTTATTTATGTGTATGTGTGTATACCTGAGTGAGTTTTTATGTACCACATAAATGCAGGAGCCCTCAGAGGCCAGAAAAAGCCACCAAATCTTCTGGGACTAGAGTTACAGGCAGTTGTAAGTGTGGGTGTTGAGAGGGTGTTGAGAACTGAATTTGAGTTCTCTTTCAAGATCAGGAAGCTCTCTTAACCACTGAGCCATTTCTCCAGCCTGCATCATTTTTTGAAGTCTCAAATTTAGTGGTCTTCAGGATATTCTTCACAATTACTGTAATCTAATTGCAGAAAATTTTCATCATTCTATTACACCATTTTAGAATTGAATGTATCTATTTTAGGGTTTCTTTTTTTTCTTTTTTAAGATTCTGTGTTTGTGTGTATATGAGTATTTGTCTGCATGTATGTATGTGTCATGTACGTGCCTGGTGCCCCTGTAAGCCAGAAGAGGGCATCAGATCCCCAGGAACTGGAGGTATAGGTGATTGTGGGCCACCATGTGGGTACTGGGAACTGAGTCCTTGTCCTTTGCTAGAGCAGAAAGTGCTTTTAACCTCTGCTCTACCTCGCCAGCCTCTGTTTTAGAGTTGATTTCTTTATGCTTTACAATTATGCATTGAAATTGTGAAAATTTTATTTGATGCTTTTGCTGTCTCTTACAGTTTATTATGCTTAACTGTCCTTATAATTTCCTTTTTTGTGTGGGGGGGGGTCTTTTTGAGACAGGGTCTCCCTATAGCCTCAGCTATCCTGGAACTCACTATGTGGACCAGGCTGGCCTTGAACTCACAGAGATCTACGTGCCTCTGCCTTCCGAGTGCTGGGACTGCAGGCGTGCACCTCCATGCCCAGCTAATTCCACTTTATATTAAGTATTTTACACTTACTTTATATTCTGTAACAGACTGTTCTAATATTTGAGATCTTAGATACCAAAGTTTTTGCTTATTTTTCCTGACTCTTGTAGATTCATGTCTTTAGTGAGTAATTTGTAACTCATGTTTGATTGATCTTAAGCTAGGAAAATATTTTAAATCAAGATTTAGTTAGGTAGGTAGGTAGGTAGGTAGGTAGGTAGGTAGGTAGGTAGGTAGGTGGCTTGAAGGGGACATGTACCATAGTGCACATGTGAAAGACAGAAGACAGCTTGGTGGCAGGTACCTTTACCCACTGAGCTATGTTGCCAGCCCTTAGTCTAGGAAAATTTTTAGGAAGAAAATTAAGGATATTTTCTGAAAGGAGTTTTGTTTTCCCTTGCCAAGATGCAGCTGGAGGTCCTGGGCTCTCTCTAGCCCTTTTCTGTGTTCTTTTGTTTAATAAGGATTTTCCAGTTCAGCTCCTCATTTTACTCAAATCCCAATGTCATTTACTTGTCTTAAGCACAACACTTGCCTTTTTCAGCTCTTGGTAGAGCTTTACATCATGGTTGAGTTTTATTTTGTTTTCTCTTCTCCTTTTTGCCCCCCTTAGGCATTTACTTTTCTTTGTGTCAGCTCGAGTTGTACGAGTAGAAGCAGGTACTACCACACCTGGCTAAAATTGTGTCTTATATTGAATCTGGTTGATTTTTTAGTCAAGGGCAAAATAGGGAATGCTATACTGTCTCATCTACTATATTGCCAAAAAGGAAATAAAGTCACCCTCTTCTGAACACCTATTAGCCCTCAGATAAATTACTGCCTTACTTACCAAGTTGCTCCTGTGTTTTTCCTAGCTTTTACTTGTACTACTAAATTTTATAGAAACCAATTTTTTCTCTCCAGATAATAGCTGTGTTATTTATAATACTTTAAATTCTGCCAAGTTTATGTTGTATTTTGTGATTCTTAATAGGATTATGTTGACAAAGAAAAGGCTATTGCAAAAGCTTTGGAAGATCTCAGAGCCAACTTCTACTGTGAACTCTGTGATAAACAGTATCAGAAACATCAGGAATTTGACAACCACATCAACTCCTATGATCATGCACATAAGCAGGTAAGGAATAATTACTTGGTAACATGGAAAAATAGTCTTCATTGTTCTCACTATTGATGTTTATAAGTGTGCCCTCAAAACTTGGTGACTGGTTTCATGTGTCTGTCAGTCGTTCTTTTTGGTCGTCTGATGTGCTTGATTTCACCCCCCCATGACAGTTGTCATGACATCAACACCCCTTCTCCCTGCAACTCCTCCACTATTTTAAGTAGAATAATTTCACAAACCTTATGGAATGTGTATGGCTTTGAGCAATATCTAAATTTTTTAAATATGATGGTTGAGCTGAGGACCAGTAGGAAAGCTTTAGCTTTATTTCCATTTTTCCCCTTTTCGAAGCATGTTAAACTTTTGAAGAATTATCCTAGACTGTGTATGTTTTTTCAACCTCTGAATATAAGGGTTCATGTTTTATGTCTGCTTTTTCCTTTTAGTAAGTAATTTGGTTATTCAGTATAGCTTGGAAAATAAATAAATTTTGAAGAAAATGAAATTAGATACTGATACAGTCTCCTCTTTCTTAAAATTTTATTTCTTTAGCCAGGTGTGGTAGCACACACCTGTAATCCCAGCACTTGGGAGGCAGAGGCAGGTGGATATCTGTGAGTTTGAGGTCACCCTGGTCTACATAGTGAGTTCCAGACCAACTGGGACTATAGGGAGACCCTGTCTCAAAAAGACAAAAAAAAAATAAGATAAAATTTTACTTCTTTATATGTATGAGCATTTTGCCTGCCTGTATGTAAATACACCACATGAGTGCCTAGTATCCTTGGAGGCCATAAGAAAGCATCAGATCCCTTGGAACTGGAGTGGTGCCCAGGTGTTAACTGACACGTGGGTGCTGGGAACTGAATCTGGGTTCTCTGGAAGAGCAATAAGTGTTCTTAACTGTTGAGCCATCTCTCCAATCCTACCAATACTATCTTAACAAAAAATTCTGATGCTGCATATTGAAAAGCTGAAAGGTGAATTATATTTTTTTAATGAAGTGAACTTGGAATTTATTAAGAAACAAATTATTAAAAACATTTACTATTTTTATGCATATGAGTGTATTGCCTGTATGTATGTGAGGGCACCTGTGTCATACAGTGCCTCAGAGGTCAGAAGAGGGCTTCAGATTCCCCTGGAACTGGAGTTAAGGACGGTTATAGCCTTCATGTGGGTGCTGGGAATTGAACCTGAGTCTTCTGCAGGAGCAGTCAGTGCTCTTAACTGCTGAGCCATCTCTCCAGCCCCAAGAAACAATTTTTAACATAGATTTAAGCATGAGAGTCAAAGAAGAAAGAGGCCCTTAGGGAAAGTGTAGTGTGGCTAGGGGCTTTTCAAGAGAATTGCTGGATTACACTTTCTTTGCAGTCTTTATTTTTGTTGAATTATAAAAGAAATTTATGCTTACCTAGTCATGGTAATAATGCCCTGGGAAACTTTGGAAGGAGGAAATGAATCTTAGGATCCTTAGAAAGTGCTAGTTTATTGAAGACTTTGAGCCTTTTGACCTTTGATGGCTCAAGTAGGATATGCTGGGTATTTGTGGAGTATACCAGTTATGTTTATTAGACTTAAAAAATTAATGCGCATTCCTGGAATTACATCCATTACCTGAACCTGTTGAACCAAGTGATTTATTTTTTGTTTGTGGCTTTTCGTTTATCTTCCAACCAACCTAGAAGATTTTAGTACATAAGTAAAAGGCCCGTTTTGACAGTGTCTACTCTTCTAGACATGGAGTTTATAAGTTGGTTGTGATACTATTATACTTCTTTTGCAGCAATATATTCCTTATTTAACTATGGTTAACCAAGTTAAGTTGAGCTGGGTGGTGGCACATACCTTTGATCCCAGCACTTGGGAGGCAGAGGCAGGTGGATCTCTGTGAGTTCCAGGCCAACCTGGTCTACATAGTGAGTTCCAGGCCAGCTGGGGCTACAGGGAGACCCTGTCTCAAAAAGACCAAAAGAGGGGGGGGGCGGGAAAGAAAAAGAGGGGTGGTGGCACATGCCTTCAATTCTAGTACTTGGGAGGCAGAGGCAGGTGACTCTCTTGAGTTAAGAGACTAGCCTGGTCTCTACATAGCCAATTCCAGGCCAGCTAGAGCTACATAGTGAAACTGTGTCTCATAAAAGCAAAAACAAAAAACCCCTGAACTTTTCCATAATTCAGTCTTTGACTTATCTTTAAACATTTGATGACATTGGGCCTACAATTCAATATAACCATTGACTAAAGCTTGGTAGTTGTTCTCTCTTCACATACTCTAAATAGCTGTGGTTTCCAAAACTGCATCTTTTATGATTTATGAGTCATGTTACTTGCCAAATTTCTTTAAACACTTGAGGTGGTAACTCAAACTTATTTCTGTCCTTCCCACATAGGTTCCCGTGGGTTCTGACACTGGGCATATTGAAATTGTCTTCTTACTCTTAGTGTTAGAACCAACTTCCTTGCAATTTCTGGGTCTGATCTGTCTTTTTATGTATTTCTAAGTGTTCTTCCTCTTGGCACATAATCCCAACCAGTATAATTAAAAACTGTTGCCAGGCATGGTGGCAAACAGTTTTAATTCCAGCAGAAGCAAGTGGATTGCTGTGAAATCCAGGCCAGCCTGGTCTATAGCTGAGGCTGCAGGGAGACCCTGTCTCAAAAGACCAAAAAAAAAACTGTCCTATTTATGTTTCAATCTTTTTCTGCCCTGTAAACATAAGTTTTTCACAGTGATACACTGTGATAGAGAATCTAAGATCAAACACGTGTTCTGTTATAGTCTAAAAGGTAAAAGAAAGCTAAACATGTTTGTAAGTGGCAATACTGAGACGAGAGCTTTGAACAAGGTGTGGTAGTAATTCCAACATTCAGAAGGCTAAGGCCAGGGTTTCTAGAGTTCAATGCCAAGCTGAGCTACATATCAAGACCCTGCCTCAATAAACCAAGGGGTTAAAGATGTAACTCAGTGCTAGGGAAGCTTACCTCCCATGCATAAGGCCCCTGGGTTAAATCTACAATTGGGTGGGAAGGCACGCTCCCTGAATTGGGATGTTGCCGTTCCATCTTTTTTGGACCCAGGTAGCTCTCAATTAATAATACTCCAAATTTCACAGAGAGGACAAATCCTTCTATTTATTTATTTAATAACTACATAATTAGTAGAAGCATTTCATTACAACAGCATTGACATAGTCAATAACAGTTTCCAGAAAGATGCATCTCTTTCAAAATTAGCTGTAAATTTTTAGGTTCACAGTATTGAATTAGATCTCTATTTCATTTTAAAATATACTGTTTCATACAAAAAACTCAACTTTTAATGCAACTAACACTTAGATGTTTGTACATGCGTCTCTAATCTCTATATATCTGATTATTGCTAGTCACAGTCGGTTACTTTCTGAGATCCTTGGCACCTGAGCATGGATATAAAGTCATCAGGTAGATTTCAGTGGTAATGTTTTTCATATCTACTAATTAACATGAAGCAAATTTTTATGCATCTTCCTCAAATGTAACTCTTTTTAATTGATTTTGTGTATGTGTGTGTATTTCATACAGAACATCCCAAACAATCTTATTCATCTTTATACCAGAATCCCAAATGGCACCCTCCCATAGCCCCCACCCCCCACTGGAGCCCATATACTCTGTCATCCCTGTTCCTGTCTACTGTGTTATAAGTGCCCCCAGCCATTCCCCAGTGCTAGTCCAAACACTGAATCTAGTCAGCCTATCTAGAGTACCTTGTTTTAGGAAGGGCAGCTGTTCCTCATTAAGCAGTAATCAGTTGCCAACATTCCTTTAGATAAGATTGCCGTCTGCTGTTCCTTTTCCCAGTTCTATGCTGGGTTACTGTCTGGGAGTCTCTTGGGCCACCCTGGCCAGCAACTCAAAGGAAGGTATCTCCTGTGTGGCATTGTTTCTTGTTATGTAGCTCTTAGCTATACACATGGACTCTTAAAGAATTATATTGATCCCTTTAACCTTTAGTTATACTTTCCTTTTGGGTGTTTAAGACCATAGAATTGGCCCAAATAAACCAATTTATTTTTACTCTTAATGTCATTTGAGGATCTGTTCCTCAGGGGTCACATGGGCTTGGGAGGACCCCTGGATCCTTTCTTTTACCAGTTCCATCTATGTGAAGATAAGCCAAAGGTCCTGCTCAACGGTGGCTGGCTTCACTTGGAAGCATGGAGGAAATTATTCCTCTGTGTTGACCCTCCTCTTTGTAGACTGGACACTGGTTCAGGTCCATCTGGTGGGATCTCCATGACCTCCTTGATCAAGAAGACAGGTGACTTAACCACAGTTACAGGACATTTTGAGAGATGCTCCATAGTTCTCTGGAATTTAGTCAACCTTGGATGGCAAGGAGAAAAACTATTCCTGGTCCCTCTGACCAGATTAGTATAGGCCTCAAAGTATGGTGGTTAAACATCTAAGAACATTAGTTCCACCAGTCTGGTACTTTCAGTTACCATGTGCCATGTAGATAAATCTTTTTTTTTTTTTTTTTTTTTTTGGGGGGGGGGGGGGTTTTTTTT